AGTTCCAGCGTCAATTTGCCGGGGCAACGGAGCAATACCGGAACAAAACAAAGTTGTGTTGTGTTTACCCGGGAGGATATCCCATCCTCAATCTCCAATCCTCAGATCCTTAACAACTTACAATGGATCCACATAGCACATTGCCACTGGCAACCAGGAGTTGTACTTTCAACTCCTTTCGTGTTGCAAGTGTGAATGCCGTGCTGATTGCTTGACATCAGGTGATTATTAATTAGTAAACTCGTGGGCCGATATATCCCACTCTCGGACGGATTTAATAACCGATCTTAATTACTACATAGTATAGCACAGAGTCGCTTTCTCTGTCCATTATCCATTCCTATGTATGCTTAAATCTTTAAAAGTAGGTACACAACGGATTTTGATGCGGTTTTTTAATATATATATAGATTGTAGAGCAAGGGTTTTATTGCGTATAATAAAATTCATCAATTAGTGGTGAAATTAAGTATCAGAATTATATCCGTGCGAAACCGAAACTCACTTAGCAGAAACTCCATAAAAGTTTTATGAAAAAGCAACCTTAATCCAAAGGTTTACAATTGAAAACAGTGGTTAACTTCGGCCGCTATACTACTCTGTCAAGAAAGTACCGGGAAAAAGTCAATAATACACAAAATGTTTGTTATTCATCTAAATTTATATTATCACCTTCAAAGTATGCTCCTTCAGAAACGATACACTTACGCCAACGAATAATCCAATCATCGAAACTTTTTTTAAACGCTGTTTCCGGAATTGAGTTCAGTGCTCGCCGCGAATTCTCCTTTATGTCTTCTAACGATTGAAAACGGGTGCCACGAAGGGGTAATTTGAGTGTGGGAAAAAGAAAAAAGTCGGCTGGTGCCATATCTGGTGAATATGGTGGCTGCTCGATGGTGTTTGTTGAGTGTTTGGACAAAAAATCGTTTACAATGATGGCCTTGTGCGAAGGCGCATTATCGTGATGCAAAATCCAAGAATTTTTTTTCCACATTTCTGGCCTTTTTCGTCGAATGTGTTCTCTTAAACGCCGCATAACGCTCAAATAATATTCTTTATTTACCGTTTGACCTTCGGGCAAGAATTCTGAGTGCACAACACCGCGATAGTCAAAGAAAACAGTCAACATGACTTTGACTTTTGATCGACTTTGACGTGGTTTTCTCGGTTTTGGTTCAGTTGGAAGGCGCCATTCCGAAGCTTGTTGACTAGTTTGCATGTCAAACTCGTAAACCCACGTCTCGTCACCAGTAACAATGCGTTTCATAAATGTTGGGTCGGTATTGACTCGTTCTAGCATGTCCTCAGCGACTTTCATGCAATTTAGTTTTTGAAGAAAATTCAGGTCTTTTGGGACTAGCCGAGCGGCAACACGTTTCATACCCAAATTATTTGTTAAAATGGTACGGATCGACTCGTGAGATACAGAAAGTTCGGCGGCCATCTCTCTCAAACTTGAATGAGGATTTTCAGTCACTATTTCCTTCACTTTTGCGATGTTAACTTCAGTTGCAGACGTTGATGGCCTACCAGAACGAGGCAAATCTTCCATCACATCTCGACCGCTTTTGAACGCTTTGTACCACTCATAAGCACGTATTTTTGATAAAGTCGATTCACCGTAAGCCTTCTGTAACATTTTGAGTGCCTCCGAACACGAAATTTCATTGGCGATGCAAAATTTAAGACAAACTCTTTGTTCGATGTTTTTGTCCATTATGAAATTCGCAATAAGTACACACTAGATATTATAAAACTAAAAACAGCACTGTTTTTAATATAAATAACAGATGCAACTCAAATTCCGCGCCAAAATGGAAAACAGTTATGCCAATCTAACAACAACAAAAAAAAATTAAAATTCAATTTTGGAACCATAAAAAAAACATTCATTCCCGATACTTTGTTGACTGAATGTATACTTAGTACCTAAGTACGTATCTTAATCTACCGATGTACATAGTAGATCATCAAATAACTTGTCCCACCCTGGGTGGGCGAGAGAGAGAGAGAGAGACAGAGAGACTCTTACACTGTCTAAATACCATACCGTCACCTCTCAGAGCTCGAGCCGAGACCGCGGTACATTATTACGCTTGCAGCCTCAACTCTATCCGCGCGTGCCTCAAAGAGCCAATGGACCACCACAGACGGGGCCCTATAGGGCTGATGTTCAGCCAGGGTTACGGGGCAAGCGCAATGAGACACCGCGGCCCTGGCCTAGAGCAGGAGAAGAAACGGGGTGGCTATTAGTCAGTAAGAGTCTGACGCTCTCTCTCTCGCCTAACCCTGGGCGGGGGTAGCCATTTGATGATTTTCCCCTGACAAAAAAAGCCTCAACTCTGTGATAGCTACAAAGGTAAGAGATAGATTTACACGCCCTACATAAATATCGTCAGTAGGTAGGTACTATCAATCAGCCAGCTGTGGTCATTCTCATGGTATTAATTAATTATTCAATAAGACTGGGATTTAATAAATAATGTCTGTCTTTTAGGTCATATATGTTTATTCAGGTAGGTATTACATATTAGGTCACGCTGCAATAACGATAGACAAGTAGATACGTAGGGATATTCGTGCTTTGTACACTTTAGATGTTTTCTTTCGTGTTCATGAATCTAGACTTTTTCATTTTTAATAGTAAGTAGGTACCCACGAAGCCCACGGTACTCACAGGTAGGCTTACCTAAGCAATATAAATATATGTTTTCTCCATGCGTTTGAAAAGAAAATAACGATGATTCCGAAGATTACGAAGATGAACAAACGCATTCATTCAATCGGACCTACTATACAAAGTCGAATAAAAAAAACACCCTAAAAAATACTGAATAAGTTGTTGACCGTATAAAGGTTGGTAATACCTAGTATGTTCTAAGTAATGTAGATAATATCGAGTAAGCTATTACCTAAGTAATTACTACGAAAGGATTACGGTAACGTGTAAAGTAACTGTAACAGCTACACATTACGTGGTCATTAACGCCCATGTTTTTTTTTTGACGTTTCGTTTCAACATCGTATCATAGTACGTAAATTAGACCTTCAAAATTAAATCGTATTGTCAGCAAACTTTCAATTTCCAAGTACATACGTCATTGTTACTGAAACTATAGCCAATTGTTGTTGTACCATCCGTCGTCAGGTAACGCCATCGATTTTATTTATTCTTTGGCTGACCGTGGTGACATTCACAACTCGGAAAAATTAAACGGAAAATCCTGCATTGTTGTGTGTGTTTTTTTATATATTTTGTTGTGTAGGTGCTATGTTTATTTTCAGGTGATAGTGTTTCAACTGACAATTAAATAAATATGGCTGCCATTCTGCCTACTGGATTGCGAAATGGGGTGAGATTTTTATGGTTATTTTTTAACGCACAATATTCTCCATGTTTTTGTGTATATCATATACGAATTATTTAAGTAATTTTGTAATTGTTCGTTTTATCTATCCTAGATTACGTATTTAAAAATGTTCAAGCTAATTAGTGTCAGTAAAAAGTTTTGTTTGTGCTGATTTAGAAAATAAGTACCTACAATCACGTGTTTTAGTTCATTTATTTTGAAATAGTTAAGCTAGACATAGATTACGTACCAACATTTGATCTTGGAGTGCTGGAGATATAGTACGGGTTGCGGGTAATAATATACTTTGGCCTGGAGCAGTAGAAGGAACGGAATGAGTTTAAGTCAGTAAGAGTCTGATATTCCTCGCCCTATTGAGGGCGAAAGAAGTCCGTGACTTGTCTTGACAATTCCACTAGAAAAAAACAGGCTGAAAGCTACATTAAACAATTTGTAGGTATACCCGGTACAATTAAATACTTAATAACAAGTAATTAACACTTCGTATAATAATTATGCATACCTATCTATAAAATATTGTGGCTCGGTAACCTCGCAGAAAGGATGCCTAAGTAGAAACAACGAGTTTCCGCTGGTCATTGGTCTTCGGCTACCGACCTTACATAGGTACCTACATTGTTTCATTTAATTAACTCTTTATATATTATTATGTGTAGGAACTGAGCTAAAGGGTTAACTTAGTAAAATTATGAAATTTGAGGAACTAGACAGATAGGTTAAGTACCTAATAGGTTTTTTTTGTGAGGGGAAAATCATCAAATGACTTCTTTCGCCCAGGGTCGGACGGGAGGGAGTGTCAGTCTCTTACTGACTAAAAACCCCCCGTTCCTTCTCCTGCTCTGGGCCGAAGTCGCGGTGCCTCATTGCGCTTACCCCGCAACCCGGCTTAGTACCTAATAGGTTATAATTTACTTTTGGGCGAATTTATTGTATCTACTTAGGTAGGTACTTTGATCTTTTTTCTTTCAGTCTTATTGACCACAATTCCTTTCCAATGCAATTTGTATTTTACTTATGTAGACATTACAAACCATCTTTCCTCGCGTTCAGTAGGTACAGCAGTCCTTGTGATCATGAAACGTGTTAGTCAATGGTCCGTGAAAATTAACTGTATTTGACGTATTCATTCAGTGTCACTCTCAAGGTCAATCATGCAAAGGAATTGTAGTACCTACTTAACATTTTGTTAAAATATCCGTCTAAATACAACAACAAATGATTGAAATTAAAAAATGGAAAACCAAACACCATGAATCCAAACCAAAAATCATGAAAAAATGGAAAACCACAATTCGCTAAACAAGAAACAAAAATTCAGGAAATCAGGAATCAATTTTCCTTCGACGATTTCCTATCTGATTGATTAGGCGATTAAAGCGATTGATGATCGGCATCCTGTAGCTAAGTACCACTAGTACGCTAGGTACATAATTCTGCTGGATGCGTTTCTAAGGAGATTTAAGCACATTATTGATCAAATGTTGATATCGGCCTTGTGTAAAGGAAATGAGGAATAAACTACGGTTTCTTACTTACAACGCCGAGCAAAGAACAGTATCCATCCACACGCGATCTCAGTAGCACTTCAAAATTGACCGGTTTGTGTTGAGTTATTTTTTATTCAAAATGGAGGAAGGCAGCAAAGAGAACCCTGCCTGTGATCAAGAGAATTGTGACGAGATCGTCACCAAAGAGCAGGATGCGCCCACTGACATCGTTTGTGATGAAGTAAATATTTATGTTTTTTCTCAAGTACTTACTTTTTCTGGTGTAGTTTTTACTTGCAGTCTGTTTCTCTCCAATTTTAATATCGTTAGGTACTCTTAAAGAATTTTGGAGATTGTTATTCCCTAAAGATTAGATTATTACGTATATACTACAATGCTAAGGTAGGGTTTCAAGACTTTGAGGTCTAAAGCGTGGTCGATCAGTACCGTTTTCTTTAGATAAGGATTTTTATATTAATGATTTACTATTTACCAGCAGTACAATACCGTCAACGTATTTTGGCGAGTGTGAAGTTAGCCGATTAGCTGCGCAGTACACAATTTTGTTCCTAAAAGATCCATTGCGCAGACAAACAGCTAACTACAGACTCGCCAAGATACGTTGGCCGTACTGTACCTACCTAAGTGAAAAAATCTCGTCGGATTATTACACGCATGAAGTTCAATAAAAATAGTTGTCCTATAAGTATTTGACTGCACGATTGGTTCGGGGGCTGAGCAACTGGTTGCCGTACAACGTGTCACGGTTTCGATTCCCGCACGGAACCACACTTAGTTACCCACAATTTGTGTGTTCCGGGTCTGGGTGTGATGTGTATGATTGTAACAGCACCTACGACACAGGAGAAAATCGAAGCGCGGGGCAAAGGTTACAATTTTTTTTGTCTATGATTTACAGCCTCTAAGCATGAAATATTTGTTGCAGATCAAAGGGCTGGACGCGAACAGATATGCCACGAAGAAAACGGTGGCGCAGGGCATGCTGGACATTGCCCTGCTGACGTCCAACGCGTCGCAGCTGAAGTACGTCCTGCAAGTCGGTCCTAAGCACGAGTTCTACACCCTACTAGTCATCCTCATCTCCATATCTATCGTTCTTCAGGTGAGAATAAAAATATTGGTCTCTTTTGGTCTTATGGACTTTATTGTGAGAAGGGTCAAACAGACGTGTACCAACACGCAAGATTTTAGATTCTAGTATTGCAATACTTACCTTAGTTTACTAACAGAACTGGTAGGTACCCTATCATAGGTTTATTCCATCGGCTACATCTTCGATCACCAGTTAAGGAACAGGTGCAATGTTGACCTACAAATGAAAACTTTAATTAAAATATTAGGTTCCAATTCTCATTACTTCAATAAGTGTTCGGTTTCGTGAACTCCTCAAGCAGTATCCAGGTGTTTAGGTGGTGATGGGGTTCGTGCTTCTGTCCCTGAACCTGTGGAGGGACTGCTGGTTCCACAGGCCACGGCACCGGACCTCTGCCTTGAACATCAATTATGGGACCACCGCCACGGCGTTTGTCGTCACTGTACTTAATGTCCTCGTGTCTGCGTTTGACTCCTCGCTTGCTAGATACCAAGACATAGATTATCTAGCTACCTAGTCTAATAGAGTCACAGGAATTTGAAGCAGTATTCAACTGCCAATAGTTTTCATAGACATTACTTAAGACCATCACTTAACTTACAAGAATGTAAATTACAATTATTATTATTATAGCCACCCCCCCTTCGGCGGATGCCATGCTGTTACAAAATTTCTGATTTTATTCACGATTATCATTGTACATATAAACATTCCTACTCTTTCTAAAACAATACATGAAGAATCCGTTGCGTAGTATTAAAGATTTAAGCATACCTACTTAAGGATAAAGGAACAAAGAAAGTGACTTTGTTTTATACTTCTTAACTTACCGAAAATAATGAAGCTAGATTAGCAATTCCTAATCGATTTCTGGGTGAGGGTAACAATACGAAGAAGCAGTTGTCGATATTTCTAAAATGTCATATTCGATTAAGTAATAATTTTCCGTTCCCCATTTTCTAATATCATCTTTAAGTGCCTGCTTCTGAGTGAAGGCCAGAAGGAATTAGTTACTACCTAATTATAAGTTGAAAAAATTGACACTGGTACTTGCCAGGTTTCGACCCTCATGCATTTGAAGTGGTCGCTTAAACCTCCAGACCACCACGAAACACATTTCCCAACACGACGATGTCATCGACTTCAGCCCGCATGAAAGTTTCAAAAGTACCTAGTCCGTCCAAACGCCATTTTCACAAAAAACCCAGTTCAATTGAGTAATGCGTTGTTACCGTAATAATAGTTAATAATACTTTATAATAAGTACAACAAGGTTTTTAGAACGGAAACAACTGGATACCTTCAGTTTATTCATTTTTTTACCACCGGAAACTTTACGGACGTGTGGAAGGAATCAGTTAGCTTAAGTACTTATTACATGTTTGAATGTGAATTGAATAAATGCATACTTGTCTAATTATAGGGAAGTTCATAATCATCCTTACTTAAATCTTTAAAAATGGCTTAAAGGTGTAAATCGGGTCTGCGAGTAAGGGTACAGAACCAGTCTCGATGATATGATGAATGATGAATTATGAATGACCAAAGAGCGTTCTGTGCGTGGTGCGTACCCAATAGACCACTACAGACGGGGCACTACAGGGATGATGTTCAGCCGGAGTTGCGGGGTAAGCGCAATGAGGCACCGCGACCTCGGCCTTGAGCAGGAGAAAGAACGGGGGGTTATTAGTCAGTAAGTCTCTGACACTTTTTCCCGCCCGATCCTGGGCGGAAGAAGCCATATGAGGACTTTCCGCTCACAAAAAAAAAAACTGAAAATGTAGGGAAATGTCAATCTGATATTCTGGCAATGAAACAAAAATTGCATTGTCACATTAGGTAAAATTCGCAATCAATGTTAGGCAAGGGCCTCTTTTTAAATATATGGAATACCTGAGCTAGGAGACCAGACCCCTAGTGGTAGGAGTTTAGATAAATAAATAAACTTAGATATATTATTAGGTATATCATAGATTTCAATACGGTAGTTTCCAACTAGTCAAATTCAATACTTTTATCCAAATGTCAAAAACGATACTTTTCTATGAAATTTGTATGAAAAACTGAGGTATGACGTCATAACAGTTTTGCGTCAAATAGCTTACTTATTTCTGAATAATGAGCAAAAAAATCTAAAACTTAGTGTATCGATCGATCGATGAATAAAAGTATAGTTATTTTTCTATATTTTATTGTATTAAACGTCGAATTAATTTATTTTTGACCTAGGACACTACCCAATTATTGAGGAATTACTTGTATTTCACGAATACCACATGTAGTAGTACTTATAGGTATTATTTATTTCGCAACTGCTGAAAAATGCCTTTTTTGTTTTAGCTTCTCGTTGGATTACTATTCGTAGTAATCGGGGGCTTGGACCTGAACGATCGTGAGGATCAGCCATCAGCCATCATACTCAATGACGTCATTGTCATATTTATATTCGTAATATCCGTTATAAACATCGTCATTTCCGCTTTTGGCATAGAGTATTCAAATAACCCATTGCTTTTAGAAAGATTAAATTATATCAATGACCAATATTTGAAAAAGGGTAATTTTACTGGGCGTTAGTACCTAATTTATTTTGTATTTAGAATAGTTCGGTGCTATCTGTTATCTATGATCTCTAAATTATTTATTTAACATGCAACACACAGTCGAATTCAGTACTTACTTACACCACGTGACGTTTCATAAACATTTTGTGTAAAATGTACCATTTTTTAAATTAGGAATCTTACTGTAAATGAGTCTATGGCGTCATCGAGTTTCGCGAATACTAGGTAAAACATTTTAATAATTTCTCTGAGAAAAATAAAGAATGAATAAAATAACCAAAACGCGGGTAATATAATAATTAATAAGACAGCTAAAATCATTTTAAGGTTTTAAAAAACAATTTGCGCATATTTACCTTGAAATTTATTTACATATTTTATTATTATAGGTAATTATTTAATTTGCTTCATGGCCCAATAAAAATGTAGAGGATATGAAACACAGTATATTATCAAGCTAAAAATACAACATTTTAGTAACTAGATTTACGTTCAGCTGGTACGTTTCTCTATTTTTATCTGCATTAAAAAGGACTATTTAGAATTTACATAAGGCACTTATCAGTTCACGAGACTTGTAAACAGAATTACGGAAATAAGCCCGAACATTATAGAAGACATGCCTATCAATTACTGATCTCTATCATCCACCTAATTAGAGCATAAAATTTTATTAAGTAGATATTTATTATTTTTGGTATGGTTCATACTGTATAGATAATTTAATTTACTTGCTAATACATTATTTTTACTTACGCAGGCAAGCGCGGGAGTCCTGGCCCTAATCATATCCTCTTTGGACGGTGAAGCTAACCATAAACAAAAGAAGCTAGCTGATTGGTTGTACCACACGTCAGTCGGGATGATGACCGGTGTAGTGTTCTGTGACGTCATCAAAATGACATTTGGCCTAGACCCCGCGCTTTCCCTGCAAGATTATCTTGGGAATAAAACTTCAAGTATATACGATACGTTCTTTAGAGTGCAAAATAATACTCATTAGTTCGATTAGTGCCATTGAATACGCATTTCAACTTCATTTACTTACAGCATAAGTTATTGAATTTAAGTTATTATTAGCCGTTTTAGTTTCTGTATGTACCTACCTAACAATGTTCATGATGCATTTAAATTATCTGTCCTTCTGAACATTTTAAATTAGGCACAAAGTTGTCGTAGGAACTTGGTGTGGCTTGACTAGTTTGGTTTCCATTTTTTCTTTTTCTTTATGTAGGTATATGGTTTTTTTTATTTTTTGTGCACGTTTTTATTATTTTTGTTTTTTTTTTCATGCATAGGTGTTTTCAGCCGTAGTAGCAGTAGTGCTCAGCTTTATATTCAACATCAACCATCAGCCTGATCATCGGAAAGCGGAATTATTAAACAATATAAGTTTGGTGTTCAAAGTATTCAGTATTACTGTCAATATCATCATCAGCATTTTTTATTCGATTCAAATCGACAATGATGCAGCACGCTTGCTTACACAGACGTAATTTTTTTTGCAAATAGTAACTCTGTAATGAAGTTTGTATGCCTTAAATTAACGTTTTGCGCTCATGTCAAACTTTCAAAATAGTATGCCTGATATTTTGAATTTAGAATTCATTTTAATTTTCATTCAAAAAGTGAACTCTTTCCTGCTTGTAGTCACCGTCATATAAGTACCTACCCGACAAATTATATTATCTGGTGGGTAGTGAATATCCAGACATTATGAAAACAGAATTTAGTCTTTTAAAGAAATTGGAATTATTGTATGTCATTAAAATGGCAAATAAATCATCTTTCACATCCAAAATAAAACTCAGTTTCAACTAGATTATTATTATACTATTGTATGTAATTACGTTATAATACTAGTTATATAAATTCATAGATATTGTAACTATCTTGAATATCCTTATGTTGTAAGTAAGATTTCTGTCGTAGGCAGGCAATTAGTTGATAGTTATTTCTGCAAAATACTGTAATATAAATAAGTTGTAGACTAGTTATAAGGTACATACTCATTTTTGATGATATTGTCTACTTTAAATAAAACATAACACACAAAAAGTATTCTTTATTTTTTTTAAACTTAACAGTCAATTGTTTTCGACGAGTAATCATCGTAATACTTACACAGGTCTATCTACTAGATAAATTAAAAATAACGACTGGCTCACGTGGAAAAATCTGTGCTAGTTTAAAGTCACAATTCAAAGACAAGGACTCTTATAATCTTATTCATAAGCAGCGTGCATGTCACGGTGACGACGTGTAGCCGACTGTGATAACTGGAGCTGGTGTTTTGCAAGAGAAAAAAAAACATGAAAAGCTATCATTTGCCATTATAATAAACGTGTTGAATTTGGCTAGTTGGAAACTAGCGGATTATTAAGCAATCCGAAAGGCAGAAGTCGACATTTTGGTGGAATGTTAGGTACACAGATATTGTTATTATATATATGTTATTATATATTATATTGTAATTAGTCCTATATTGGCGACCCTATCAGTATTCAGAGTTCCAGTCTACATATTACTAAATTTCTAAACAAATGTAATAATAATTTGCACGACCAAAATATACCGAATTGAAAGTCGCAGTTGCGAGCCAGTCCAACTTGAGACTACTCAACCAACGAGTCAGCAGAACGAAGTATTTATATTATACTCTTTGGAGTCTCTTAAAACCTTAAATAAGGGCAATAACATATTTGGGACATTATGCCGCCTCTTTTAGATAGCAACCTACGATTGGTACCATAGATTTTAATATGCACTTCAAAAAAAAAAATTAATTAATCAAATGTCAGGTTTTTAGGCGCTATGTCAATAGGCTTTTGAATTCATGTAAAATAAAATTATCGTTATAATTATCAACAATACTGTAGATGTCAATTTTTTCTTGAAAACTTCAATATTATAAGTTTTTGGAGTAAAATGTTAAGATAATAATTGGGGATATAAGCACACAAAATACACATTGAAGTAATTAAATTATATCCGCAGAGGGTTGTGGATTGTGGAGTAAAATGACAAGCCACAGGCTACTTGTTTACGGAGGGCGAGGAGCATTGGGTAACGTATGCGTCAACCACTTCAAACAAGCAAACTGGTGGGTAGCAAGTGTTGACTTAAAACCCAATCTCAAAGCTGATTTCAACATCACTGTGCCCCAAGATGCGTCATTGTTTCAACAAGAAAAACATGTCATAACCATGCTGGACACAGCTCTACGTAATGAAAAACTAGATGCCATCATCTGCGTAGCTGGTGGTTACAGACGCGGTAATGCCGCGAGAAATCTCCACGCAAACGCGGAACTTATGTGGCAACAGACTGTATGGCCTTCCACAATTGCCGCCTCTGTAGCAACTAAATATCTGTGTAGCGGAGGCCTGTTAGCATTAACTGGGGCTAAAGCTGCCTTAGAAGCCACCCCTGATATGATTGGCTACGGTATGGCCAAAGCTGCAGTACATCAACTTACAAAATCCCTAGGTGCAAAAGACTCTGGAATGCCAGAGAATTCTGTAACTGTTGCAGTTCTTCCAAAAGTATTGGATACAGATGTGAACAGAAAATGTATGCCTAATGCGAACTTTAGTACGTGGACGCCACTTTGCTTTGTACCAGATTTGTTAGAATCTTGGATAAAAGGCGAGAATTGTCCACCAAGCGGCAGCTTAGTGAGACTAGAAACTAAACATCACAATACGGAAGTGATTTTACCTAAAACAAAAGTAGATAAAGTTGATGTGATTATTGAATAGTTTAACTTTATTTATGAACTATCCACCAATGCTCCGGCATAATAAAACACTAACCATTCATCTAATTCCTTTTTTTTTGTAGTTAAGCACCATTTATCTCTTTTTTTAATACGAATGCTCTATACTTGTTGCCCCTCTCAGCTCAGTTCTCATGGAGTTTTTCTTTTTGCGACAGAAAATGAAATGCCACATTTTTTTATCATATAACTAGTGCTTAACTTTAATTCTACCTGATGGTAAGTACGTAGTGATGGAATTGTTAATCGTAAGGCGCACCAGTTTATTAAGAGCCTCTCTAGCTTTGAAGACACCTGAGTCATAATTGGCCGGGAAGACCTTAGCAGGCAAGTTATGTAAGTAAACCTTAGATGTGTGTAGTACCTACAATAAACGACGAAGCAAAACGCTTGCACTGGATGGTAGAGGTTTCAAATCAACAAATAGGTATTGATTCGTTCGGGGTTGATTCGTAAACGATCATTTTGAACCAATTTTTTAACCAAGAATAATTACTGTAATAATGACATAGACGTATCAAAAAAAAACAAAGAAAAAACAAGACAGATACAATTTATTTGAGAATGAGTGGGAGGTCGCTACGTCACCACGTGACGTTGTGTTTTCAAATGACGAACGTACGAAGCTCAATTAATAACAAGACTACGCGTAATTTATTTTTAAAAATGTTTTGTTACGGGCAAGAAAATCTTATTTGTATACTTTTCTGTATTTCTGCTAAGTACTTAAATACGGTAGTTTCCTGCTAGTCAAATTCAATACTTTTATCCAAATGTCAAAACTTTACTTTTCTATGAAATTTGTATGAAAAACTGAGTTATGACATCATTGTATTTCTGCGTCAAATAGCTTACTTATTTCTTAAAAGATAGCTAAAAAATATCTAAAAAAAAGTGTATCGACCGATCAATGAATGAAAGTATAGTTATTTTTCAATATTTTCTTGTATTGAAAGGTCGAATTGATTTATTTTTGACCCAGGTAACTACCCAATTCTTACTTTTTTGCTATTAATTGCTATAATCATTTAAATATTCCGTAAATAAGTGTTTCAACAAGGATTCTTCTAAGACATGTTTCAATCATACAGTGATAAGGTTCCTGATCACTTACCAATTGATTAACTTTTAATTGGGAGTATGAAATACCTACCCATGATAAATGCAATTTTCTTAAGTGCAAAAGACCCATGTCTAAGTTCATTACCTATATATTAAGATTTTGTCACTGTCAAGTTAATGTCAAAGTCAAATTGGCAGTGGTTGATCGTCTACTGACTGCTGTCCTCTGCTGTCATAGGAATTTTGAAAATATTGTCTACAACTAAACTACATTATTACTTGTTGTTAAAAAGGCAATAACATACATTAAGCATTCAAAAAATAACTGATATTGTAGCGCTAAGTGAAAAAAATAAAAAAAGCGTATCCTCCACTTGTTATTGTCTTTTGGTAAGCTAGCGACAAAAAGTGAGAGCCGACTAGCCGAGGTTACCGCGCCGCGCAAGTTATAGCTAGCTAACTTTTACTAGTCCGCGTCCAGTCAAGTGGTTCAGTTGAGTCTGCGACTCGATAGTGTTCGGACGTATTAATAATGGCAAGCGGAAGGATTGTTGTGTACGGTGGGCGAGGCGCCCTAGGGGCCGCGTGCGTTAATCACTTCAAATCAGCGAACTGGTGGGTTGCCAACATCGACTTAAATCCTAATGACAAAGCCGATTTCAACATCACTGTGCCCAAAGACGCTTCGTGGGTACAACAGGAGGAACACGTCGTTAACGAACTGGCCAGCGCCCTGCAAGGTCAGAAAGTGAATGCTGTGATCTGTGTCGCGGGTGGCTGGGCCGGCGGAAACGCTGCCAAGGATCTCAGCAAGCAAGCGGATCTAATGTGGCGCCAGTCTGTGTGGAGCTCCTCCATTGCAGCCACTGTGGCTGCCAAGTACCTGTCTGCAGGAGGACTGTTGGCCCTGACTGGTGCTAAAGCTGCTTTGGAAGGTACACCTGGTATGATTGGCTATGGAATGGCCAAAGCTGCAGTACATCAACTCACAAAATCCCTGGGTGCCAAAGACTCTGGTTTGCCGGAGAACTCATTGGCTGTTGCCATACTTCCTGTGACTCTGGACACTGAGATGAATCGGAAATGGATGCCTAAGGCTGACTTTGGCACATGGACCCCACTAACATATGTGGCTGAGCTATTTGACAAATGGATCAAGGGTAATGAGCGTCCACCAAGTGGCAGCCTGGTGGCATTGGTCACCAAGGACAATGTCACTGAGCTGATTGTCCAGTAAACTTGCCAACTTAGATATAAGTAAATGTGTCTCAAGTGTAGATCTAAGCAAACACTATAAGTTATTCTGTTGTGTAAATTGTTTAATATATATTTAAAGTACTTAATGTGTATTAAAAGCATTTGTTTTTGTCTACATTTTTTAAAAGTGTAACAAATTGTTTATACTCATAATCGAAGGTAAACCTTCAAAGAGTTGTTAATGCATTTTTTATTAAAAGTAAAAAATAGGACAGTAAAAAGACAGCAATCTCAGAGTAAATGTTGTAGAAGTATGTCATGTATATCATGTGAAATGTATCAGAGTATATTCAATGTGATATTTAAACTTATACCTATTATTAAATGTGGAAGCATTGAACTTGTTTTTTAATTACGTCTGATGTAATGTCTCATTACTGATTATGGAGGTCACTTGAAACAGGTTATCTACCATTAAATTATACTCTATGGTTAATGATAATGAATATTCTTATTGAATGTTTTCAACATGCAATGGGTCTTTAAGTAGTTTTAATGATTGTAATGGTTGTTAGATGATGTGAAAATTTTGTCAATAATGAGATATTTTGCAATGCAACCTATAAAAGTCAGATTACAAGAATATAATCAGGTTCATGAACTACTTATTATAACTGATACCTACCTATATAAAAAAAGTTTTTTTTTTGTAATGTATTGGATATCTAGAAGCCTATTAAAAAGTGGCAACTACATCCTCACCTAATGAATTATCTGTAAAGTTCTCTTCTAAAATTTCCAGGGACAGGGAAAATCCCAGCTTCCTAAGAAAAACAAAGATAGCATGAATCACTAACCCCATACATTTGGTATTCCCCATACTGGTGCAGAACTAAGCATTTATCTTTTTCCTCTTTATTTATTTGACAGCAAAAATGTTTTAAGTACCATTTCGTACGTCATTAATTCTCGTGGGAACCATTGTAGATGATTTTTAGCATAACATCATCAGAATGCTAATGTTTTATAATTTCGTTTGCTGGGTAGGCATGCCATTTTTATTCAATTAGCAATGTTTAAGTTTGCCAGCAGTAGAAAAGAAACAATCTTCGAATTCAAATACTTAAACGTCCAATATGAAGTGACAAATACATTTTAATGGCCATGTACTTACTAATCTTAAAATTAACTTTTTTATTTCACTTTTTTTTGAGTCATTAGCTTTGGTTATCCCTGCAGCTGGGTCTGAGTTGTAATATTTTGTCCAATTTTTTTTATGTTATATGTCGGCAAACGAGCTGACGTATTACCTGATGGTAAGCAATCAGTGCCGCCCATGGACACCCGCAACGGAGGAGTTACGATTGCGTTCTCGACATTTTAGCGATTAGGGATTTGGAGATTTAGGGATTGGGCGTCCAGTAACCTCACTCACACGGCGTTGTGGTTGTTTCACGCCAGTTTTCTGTGAGGCCCTGGTATCACTCCGGTCGAGCCGACCCATCCGTGCCGAAGCATGGCTCTCCCAAACTCAGTAAGTATCTATAAATTCAAACAGCAACTGTATGCGGGTCATTTTCTATGATTCTTAATGAACTAGGCGTAACGTAAGCAAACCATTTAAAAAGTGTACCTAAAATACGTAACAATTTGTTGAGATATCATTGTGGAGAGTACCTGCATCAGGCAATAGGCAAGAAGTTAAAGTTACGTAAAACAATTCGAGTTTTAAGATTGTTACAGATCCAGTTTTGGTTCTTTTAAAACACTTTCACTTTTCAAAATCAGTCCAATTGGAAAGTCAGTGCCTACCTACTTGTTCGATCTTATTATTTACAGTAAAGTATTGCAAAATGAACCTTAAGTCCTAATTCAAAGTTATATGTTACAATGCTCGGGGTTGATATGAATTTGCACGGTAATCAGTGTCGTTTATTGTATAGGTAATCGAGTTGTACAAATAATTGTAATAAGTACTTACCGAGTTTCGTGTCTCGAGGACCTGAGAGAGAGGAATAACTTATCAAATGTTAATAAATTATGACAAAGATAAATTAATGAGCACTAACAAAATTGCTTTTAATTGGTAAATAGTGGTTAAAGGTAGGTAAATGCTTGAAATGTCAATCAATTATTAATATTGTATTTACCTAGTAGGTGTGACGGTATTACCTACCACATAGGTATTTAATTAATAGACTGAAACAGTTTTCAATATAAGAGTATCCTCCTATTTAAAATTCCAGCGACGCATCTGAATCTCCTCTGTTGTTGCGGGTGGTGATGGTCGATTACCAATACTTACCCAAAAATGAATGGTACGAGCGATAAGCGCCTAGAAATAACAGACAAGCAATTGATTTACAAACATAAGAACGAGACTTAGTTGTATTAAACTTGCAGGCACTTTTAGAGCTGCTTTTTTTAAATCCCGAACTTTAGAACATGCATGTTGTCCTACCTATAAATATATTTATATGAATATCTACATTTAATTCAATCAATATATTTTTTACTATAATTTACGTAATAATCACGTACAATCATGAATACAAAATTAATTACATAGTGCGCTATCGAAACTTCTTTTTGCTCCGAAATAATAATAGGCGCATATCTATGGGAGTCAATTATAAAGTAAATGTGTTTTAATTATTTTGTTATTTAATTCTTATTAGCTTTTGTAGAAAATTGTTTTTCTAAAATTATATCGTTTTCCAAATTAGAATATAAAGCATCTGATTTCAATGAACCAAATTAAATGGCCAACGAGACCGAAGTGAGAGTGAAAAGTTATAATTACTTTATATAAACGTGTACTTCTGCCTGCCTTGTTCTGACTAGGCGGGAGATTAAAAGCGCACCTTCGATGCGGTATCGGAAGGAATGCTTCGACACAAAGTCCCAGTATTGCAAAACGCTTTTGCGATGTCGATAATCAGTCCCCGAGGCCTGAGCTAACAAATGCGAGATGAGATGTGTAGGTAGGTTTCTTTTTTATGTAATAGGTCGGCAAACGAGCAGACGGATAACCTGATAGTAAGCAATCAGCGCCGCCCATGGACACCCTCAACGGAGGAGTTACGAGTGCGTTGCCGACCTTTTAGGGATTAGGGATTTGGAGATTTAGGAACTGGGGAGGGATTGGGAAGGGGAAGGATTGGGTCTCCGGTAACCTCACTTACACGGCGAAACACAACACTGTGGTTGTTTCACGCCGGTTTTCTGTGAGGCCGTGGTATCACTCCGGTCGAGCCGACCCATTCGTGCCGAAGCATGGCTCTCTCACACTTAGGTTAGTACACACAGGTAGGTACACTAGAGTGGTGGTCTCCAAAGTCGAAAAACCTTTTAGGTCCAAGCTATATAAGTTTATAGGCACTACTCACTACTTTTGCTTAGTGAGTACCTAGGTATTAGTAAGATGATTGTCGTTTTAACTCCATGTAAATAGTATGTCTGTCTGTCAGTGAAATAAACTTTTGACTGCACGGTTGGCGTGGTTGCTGCGGCTGCGTTTTTCGTTCATTTTTAGTAACCAACATATAACATAACCTGTATACCTATTGAAAAAATACACTTTAAATAACACTAAATTATAATATCGTATCTTTATTACAACAAAACTAGTTTACAAGAACAAGCAGAACGTATAACATTAACTTGTAAATTCTCAATGTAAATAAATAAATAAATAAATCTATCGCAAATAAATAAATCTATTCTATTTTATTCGTGTGGTGGGTTGGTTCCAGTACGGAACAACTCTTTGTACAATCTACAAGTGGAACGACCACTTGTAGATTGTCTGTTTATAACATACTAGCTACCCTCGCACGGTTTCACCCGCTGCTCGGCTCCATTTAATCGTAGCGTGATGTTTTATAGCCTTTAGCACTCAGGAATATTGTAGCTATATATCAGTGAAAGAATTTTGGAAATCCGACCAGCGGTTCCAAATATTACCCCCTACATACAAACTTACAAAACATACAAACTTACAAACTTACAAATAATACTTCTTTATAATATTAGTATAGATACAGGAGGAAAACCTTGGCAAAGTTTTTTTTTCAAAAATCATCTTATTAATAAGTATGATTCCATATCATGGAAAAGAATAAGCAGCCAAGTTTTTAATTCTAATATTTCTAAGCTTTTCTTTATGTTAGGTATAAGTATAAAAGTTTTGTCCCACTCGAGGTCTTTTTTTTCTGTAGATACCTAACGATCCTGTAAAGAGCTGTTCCTTGTAGCGACACGTTTCATAAGACGGTCGTCCATTCAGTGCGCCAACCCTGACAAAATAAAATAATAATCTTACCTTATGAGGATAACATACCTATGTATATTCTGCGAGCCTCATTTGAAAATAAAACTAAAATAGATAAAGATTTATTTTATTTTGATCAGAAGTTTCTGTGTAGGTGTAAGGATCAAGGTGTTAAAAAATATCAATTAAATTACAAAAAAGTTATAAATAAAAGCATTTATTGAGTCACAGCTGGACCTACAGTATAAAATCTTAATGCGTAATCACAATATGTAATTAGCTAAGTTAATTAATTGTAAAATCGACCTAAATTACAATAATTTAACACTTAAAATTAATGACAAATTACAATAGGCCTGTGCCATAATTAGATAATTCGTAATCTCCTACATACAATAAACTTACATATATGTAGCATTATTTCTTATTAATTATAATCTCACAGTAATAAATTTAACTATCCATTTGCAAATTTAATTTCCAATTACGACCAAAGGTCGGTGGTTTTTTCACGAAATTAAAATGGAGGGAAAACCAACCAGCAATAAACAATTCAATATGGCCGACTGTCATACACTGGGATTACGGCAAAACTGGAATCTTGTGTTTTTTTTCACTGGTTATAAGGCCTTTTATATCTAGGTACTTGACACGTTATGTATTGAGGATTTTTTTTCTGAATGTCTACCGACCAACGACTGCTCTCACTGTGTTCCTGAGTATATCGGTGACAAGTTCCGTTGTCTTTATTATTTTGTAGCCGATTTGGTCGATGAGGGTTATGGCTGTGGAGTATGGCGGTGATATTTCTGACACTGGTCGCAACGGGAAACGCGTCGACTGTGTGTTGGAAGCTGCACCTGCCCAAGTCATCATTGTTGGCCTGGAAAATAAATATAGACTTTATAAGTAATTTATTAACAACAAACCTGATGAAAAAAGTTGTATTATTTTTACGGGTTAGGTCGGCAAACAACATGCTTATTAATCGATGGTAAGCAATCGCCGCTTATAAACACTCAGAAGTCCACAAGAGTACTAGTAGTAAGTTATCAAAGGTGCGTTGCCCGCCTTGTGTGGGCTATTAGGAATTTACAGTAAAGGGATTTGGAGATTGACGATGGGGGGAGGTCCAACCTAATTACATATTAAATGATACGATTAGTATGTACTGCTAAGCAATGACATAGATATTCGAAAAAGTTTCGAAAAATTGAAATAATTTTTATCAGGCCTGTTTTGCACCTGCGCTTGATCCCTTGACTAACGAGGCCTTAATAAGCAGCTTTACTACAAACATTGATACCATTTCGTTTCCGGCTTAACATAATTACGTTGATGCCTTAACAATAATGGTAGGTCTTGTCCCACGCCCACGTCTTACTGTGGGCTTGCAAACAAGATCATTACACGGGCCATTATTCAATATTATTCATTGCTATACATACATAATATATTATGTGTGACAATAAAAGTGGAATTTATGATGTATGATTGATGGTAGAAACTTTGTTTAATCATCGTCACTGTTTCATCGATTTAATGTTTAAGTGCTAGAATAGGTGAACTTTATTTTTCGTATAGATTAAAAGTACAAAGCTCCTGTTTTTATTTTATATCGTATAGCAGCAAATGGGCCGACCTTATGGTAAACTAAGTATCGGCATTGCCACAAGACGACTTGTAAGATCGATGTTGCACTTTTGGGTGTTCAGGGATTGGGATGGGAGAGGAAGGATTGGGCCACTCTCACGGCGTAAGACAATGCTGTGTTTGTTTCACGTCGGTTTTCTTTGAGGCCCTAATAACACTTCAGTCGAGCCTTTTTTTCCAGCTGAGAAAAATACATTACGCATACACACACCGCCCCGGGAGACGGTGAGGTTATGTGGGGCTCCCACTAAAAACTCAGCTTTCGTTCGGTCTTCTGCCTTTTGGGAGAAGCCACGAAGACCAAAAACGACTTTCGTGACACTCCAGTCGAGCCTGCCCATTCGTGCCAAACCTTAGCTCTCAGACACTGGATGTTATACCAACGAAATTGCCGTAATTTTATGGAATTTTACTTATGTATTAACTTTTTTGTACCTATCTGTATACAACTAAAGTCGAGCATAAAATACTTAATTAAAATAAATTAAAGGATGTCTAATTAGATGATCTATGTTAATGATCGATGCTAGATGGTAGATCATTTAATTTTGTTTGCAGTTTCTTCAGCTTAGGGGACTTAGTATATTGTTATGCCATCCGCAGTGTGTTATAGTTTTGTTTTAATAAATGTAATTGTTTGTAAATTTTTCCTATATACATATATATATACTAAAGAGCTTTTTGCCATCTACCTACATACAAACTAAACGGCTTGAGGGCTATACCAGCATCATTAATTTATCTTAAAAATCAGGAAATACAGCGGAGCATCTCAGTTCAATGGCATATGGTACAATAGTGCTCCTAACATGACTAAATATTTAAGCGGTCAGTTATTTTTTTATATAGCGCTTCGCGTTTAGATAACGATATATCAATTTAAAATGTATTGTTAAATATCAATTAAGTATTTAAAACTTGTCTTTAATCATTGCGAAATATTATAAACTTTTGACCTATTGATAGTAGAGTTTATACAAATAAACTATTGTAATAAATGTTACTCAATACTTTTTATATTTCGTGATTTCATGATCGTATTGTGTGAAGATGCAGATTTTACGGTTGGACTGAAATAACTTGGGATGATTGTCCATGCAGATGGGAAAAGTTGTAAAACTCAGTCAGGAGCCTTAAGAGCTTGTCGGTATAATGTAGTTTCTGTCTTCTTTTGTAGAATGATGGGAGTTTCTTATAGTAAAATAATATTGTATAATAAATATATATTCATCGAAATCTAGCTCAGATTTAATGGCGACCTCGAAGTTGATAAAGCTTAGGAGGAGAAGAAAAAGGTTAGGAGAAAAAAATATGGAGAGTATTCTGTATCTTTTAGGCAGGTATCTTGTAACAAGATATTGTGAAATAACTAGGACTAGACACTAATTTAAGAGAAGGGCAAAAAGATGGGATTTGGATTGTCCTTATAAATATGAAACGTAAGTTTATATGCAGAGTCTTTTAGAGTTTTAAGAGTTTTAGTTTGACAACGAAATGAATTGAATTAAATAATATATTAAATTACGTTCTTTGTACTTAACTTGGTAAGAAAATGCACTAAGCTCCCATATATTTATTCAAGTTTAAAAATATAAGAAGGTCAACAATGATCAACTTTCGTGAACCTTTAATGTTTATGTACCAATACCAGAAATTCAGTTTTGTTATCTTGAAATGTGCTTTAATATAACTTAAAACGAATTTATCGTTATTACGTAATTTTATTATTAGGTACCTATTTTGTTATACTGGTCGGCAAACGAATGGGTCGTTCAACTTAGAAATGAAAAGCGAAAAGGAAACATCCATTTGGCTCCGCATGGACCAGGAGAAGGAAGGTGGAAGGAAGGTGGTTTTTAGTCAGTAAAAGAAAATGTAACTACGTAATTAATTTGTAACAACATAAGTATGGTGTTTATATAGTCTTACCTGGGTGGTACAGGCCTAGTACTAGGCGTTTTTGTAGTTGTGCTGGGCCTCGTGGTGGCCTGAGTCATCGGCCTTGGAGTAACACCCGCTGACGACGGACTACCCATCATCAGTTCACCGTCGTCACCGAACCTGGAATTTAAAAAGACGCGAAATGAGTTTAACGTAAAAGAAAAGCTGGTAATGAAGTATTGGGAACTAGATTTTGGACTTCATAAAAGTACTTATACAAATAATTGCAGAATGTATCGCGGGTTGGATTCTCGCACGGTACAACACTTTGTGTGATCTACAAATTGTTGTTACGGATCTGGATGACCTGTGTGTGTGTGTAATAAAGAAGGAACATGTAGTGTGGGGCAACGTTTTATTTAAAAAAAATGCAGTTGCAAAGAGTCCCAGGGTTCGTTGCGAGAATATGATTTTTATATAGTGTTTTCGAATATCACGCTCACAGTAACGATGTATCCCAATATAATTTTAGTACAAAGTAGATGAATGAATAAGTAAGGAACATCTATCTAAAAAAAAATTAAAGAAAATGAGAAAAGGCAGCGAAAAAATGGCCTTTGAAAAGCTTGTATTTTAGGAAAAAAGATAAGCTTCACTTAATATCGTCTTCAGTTCGTACAAGACGGGAATACTTAGAATAAGAGATCCAGTCGAGAGAATTTTAACTTCCTCATGGCCAAAAGTATAACTTGAAAGATAGTAGTGTACTATGTTTGAACTGACCACAAAAGTAGGTCTCCTCAAATAAGATACTTTCGTTCAAAACTCTTGAGACAGCAAAAAAGTAATTTGCAAGTAAACATTGGTATTTGGGACATGAATACTGTTTTAAGGTTTTAACTGTAAATGAATTATAGGTACATGTTATTTACGTTTGTCTTGTGGTGCCACTTAAGGTTAAGAGTCAAAAATATACTGTTAGTATTTAAAATAGCAAAAAGTGGTGACCATTTTCTTTCCGATCCTATCCTACTATCCTAATAATATTCTAGGAAAGTTTGTGAGAATGTATGGATGTATGTTTGTTATTCTTTCAAGCTAAAACGGCTGGACCGTTTCGGTTGAAATTTGGTAGGTATGTGGATAGGTGAAACCATGGACTAACACATAGGCTTCTTATGAACATACCACGCGGGGAAAGCCGTCAGTGGAAGCTAGTATTTATAACATCAAAAAATTAAATGCAAAAGTTTTAAAACTATTCGACCCTATTTCTTATAGGTATCGAAAGTTTTGAGATACCAACTTCTTTGACAAGATCACAAGATAGTTCCTTTTAAAATTGCATGAAAATAAGGATTTATCTTTATATATAAGAATGGATCGCAAAATGTGTTGGTAAGCGCATAACTCAACAACGCCTGGACCAATTTTGCTAACTCTTTTTTTGTTGTTTTTGTTATTGTTTAGGAGAAGGTTCTTATTAAAGAAAATATTAGAAAAGTAGAGGGGAAGATTAGGAAGAAGTGACCTTTTGAAAGCGAGATAGTTGGGCCCATGCGAAGCGGGGGCGGGCCGCTAGTTTATTAATAAAATAGATAATACTCGAACGACTTGATCAGCTAACCTCGCGAGTTGCTCCTTTCCATTCAGAAATGGCAAACAACCTTATGGCCGTGTCGAGTCCTTTCTTAGGTTATTTACGCTTATTAATTCAAATGCCGTCACGAATTAGAAGACTTCTAATACGCTTTATACCAAATAGTAATAATTTGTGTTAGCTTTTTTAAAGTTATTAGAATTTTTCAAGGTACGGTTCACTGATTTACAGTGTAGGTATGACTTCTTTATTTGGTTGGGTTATTTAATATCCTTGTTAAGGAAAACAAACACCGCATCAAAATCCGAACAAACACCGCATCAAAATCCGTTGCGTAGTTTTAAAGCTTTAAGCATATACACTACACAGGAACATTGCTTCAATTTATTCGTTTGATTGGAAACCTTTTTTTGTCAGGATAAAATCATCAAATGACTTCTCCCGACCAAGGCCACAGGGAGTGTCCTCTTACTACCTCCCCCCCCCCCCTTTTTCCTTTTCCTGCTTTAGGCCGAGCCGGGTTTGCGGGGTAAGCTCATTAGCCCGGCTTTGATGGACAGCTGTATTTAACAGTTTATTAGGTACAGGTGTCGGTCAAATGTGTCTTTTAGGGAACTCGCAATAAGAGAACTCAGGGGTGGTGACAGAAGTACTAAGAACTGTCGGAAGATATATATACATATATATACATACATATGTTATAGGCTAACAAAAATTCTAAGTTTGTTGTCTTAATTGAAATAAGTACAAGGAAAATCAACTCACAAGATTTACGTGATTCTCTAACAATTTAAATTTATGACACTCGTTTGTATTCAAGATTTTAAGAGGTCAGTTAGTTGGCAAGAGTTTGATGCTAAGAATAGATGACTAGCAACTCTCACGCGGTTTCACCCGCTGCTCGGCTCCATTTAATTGTAGCGTGATGCTTTATAGCCTATAGCACTCAGGAACATTGTAAGAATTTTGGAAATCCGACCAGCGGTTCCAAAGATTACCCCCTACATACAAACTTACAAATTTATAATACAAAGATACATTAAAATCGAGACACAATTTTCATTATACATCATAAGCCTATAAATGCTTACTACTGAGTAAAGGCCTCTTCTCACACAGAGACGGTTTATTCACTAAGCACCACGCTTGTTAAGCGGTGTGGAGATTTGATATTTAGTTTGGTTTTCTCACTATAGTTTAGTTGTTTTCCGTCATCGTATTTCAGTGTAAATAATCTAAGAGTACATAACTCGGAAAATGTCATATTGGTACTTGCCAGGTTACGAACCGACTTCCTTATGCATGAGAAACGAACCTTAACGACCGTCCCACCACGACACACGATAGATATATTTAATTTTTTTTTTATGTATGTTATAGGTCGGTAAACGAGCAGACGGATTACCTGATGGTAAGCAATCAGCGCCGCCCATGGACACTCGCAACGGAGGAGTTACGAGTGCGTTGCCAACCTTTTAGGGATTAAGGATTTGGAGATATAGGGATTGAGGAGGGATTGGGGAAGGGGAAGGATTGGGCCTCCGGTAACCTCACTCACACGGCGAAACACAACGCAGTGGTTATTTCACGCCGGTTTTCTGTGAGGCCGTGGTATCACTCCGGTCGAGCCGACCCATTCGTGCCGAAGCATGGCTCTCCCACAATTCCAAGATTATTATGACATGAAAATACATAATACATCTATATTCAAAAAAAACTCTCTCTACCTTTAAATACATATCTAGGAACAAGTTGTAATTAATCTTAATCCTTAAACATGGGAATAGAATGGTTGCTATGCGTATTGTTATAGAGAGATTAGTGTTACAATGAATGGTATAATCATAGAATTACATGGAACATTTGTAATTGTAGGGCTGATGCCATTCTAAGTGGAAGATAATATATCGCTGTATCGCGTTTAGTTTTCAATTATTGCATTAGGAATGTGGATGACAGCGTCATTAGTTTGCAGATTAATGTACCTAACGAGGTGTTTTTAATATCTTGCTTTTTTTGACCACAAACTGGGGTTTTTTAGCCCTATTTACTATGCCTGGCTTAGGAGTAGAAGAAGGGACAGGGTGGTCATTAGTCAGTAAGAGTCTGACCCTCGCTCTTGTCCTATCTACGGTGGGAGACGTCAAAACAAAAAAGCCCTATTTACCTACACGATGCCAGCTTCTCAGCTTATAGGATACAAAAAACTTAAAGCAATAATTGACTTGTGTGATCAAAACAAGACGTGGTAGGTTGATAGGATGCAATCAATCTGTTAAATCTAATTCAATTAATTTCAAGCAAACTATGTCGTGTTAACGAGACTTATATCGCTGAAAATTAATACAGAGGAGTGATGTGCTACATTGCTAATATAACATCTAATTATTCAATTCGATTTATTTCAGTTCGATTAAAAATTGCAAACAGGTTTCCAACATGTATCTTTTCGATGTTTGGCAAAATATTCCATGTCCATTTGAGTTTAAAAAATGCGGACAATATTTAGTGCTAAAAATATTTCATCTGCTTTTTTTATTCCATGTAAAATGTTAAAAATCGAACATTTATGTGTTTATAGCCTGGGAGACTTAGTTTAAAAATTTAACGGTTCATCAAGAGGATATATTTAGCGATCCGATCGAATCGATTCGATCAAAAAATCGACAGACAGTACCGTAGTAAATCGATTATCATAAACGTTACAAAACATGTTACCGATTGTTACCGAGCAATTAATTCTGCAATGTCTGAATCAGGTCCAGAGTGAACCAGTCCATCGGAAACCGTGTTTAGAGTTAGCGAAACATCGATTGTATTATTTGTGAACACGCGAACTGAGATTTGAATATCGCTAGTGATGTAACTTGGCATAAAAGTTATAAACCTAGAAAAATATAATCTTGGCATTGGTTTTGTGAACCTCTCTCTTTCTCAGGTCAGTTCCTCTTGTAACTGTACTTTCCAACGAGTCCAATTAGTATCAAATCGAACCATCATATTTTTACATTAACTAGCTAACTTACTTATTTGCAAAAAATAGCTGGAATATGTAGAAAATTAAGTGTATGGACAGATCAATGATTTAGGGTATAATATTTTTTTGCCTTAGTTTCATATTAGGTACCATACTGTTATTTAATATTATATTTCTGACTAAATAAACTATGCAACTCGATAAATCTTTCACTTGGTCTGTCCATTTTGATATTTTGATTCTTGCTAGTGAACATTCACGGTTAAGAATCAATTTATCGAACAAAATAGCTGGACACGTTGCTTTAGCTAAAATTCTCGCTTTTTTTAGCTGCTAAGTCTACTAACAAGTAAGTTTTTAATTCCAGTTGTTCCAGACAAATTATCCCAAAAGTTTAATTACAGTTTAAACTGAAACATCTTTTTTGACAAAGAGTTTAAATCAGGTAAAAAATTGTTTTCTTGTGTAAATATGTATTGTATGTATGACAACATCTGGATAAAACTAATACCTAATAACAGATATTGTTCAATAAACGTCAAATAACAAAGTTTAAAGTCAAGAAAGATGTTTATAAAGAATTTCTTCACATAATAAATCTTGGCAAAGGAAAGATCAATCCGTAATATAATAATAACAATAATGACACAATAGTAAACCAGACGTAATCTAGATCCTATTATATTATTAAGTCCATAAAGAATTATTTTTTATATCCGTATTATATAAGATTTGGTCGATTATCTAGGTTATGAGATACAATTTCGAAATACTTGTATGATTGATGACGATCTTGTTAATACTAATATTGATCACTATTGTATTATCACTACATAGAACAAAATAGAGTAACTTTCTCTGTCCCCATATCCCTATGTAGTCTTAAATATTTAAAACTACGCGGATTTTGATGCGGTTTTTAATTAGTAGAGTGATTGAAGAAACAGTTTTATATGGATAATAAATAGCATCCATTAAATAATTGAGAAAATTAGTAGCATTGCACCTGTACGATGCTCGGGCGTGTCGCTAGTTTCTGATATAAACTGCGAGCGTAATGTAATGGATATTTTACTTTAAATTAAAAAGTATTTTTAACATAAATTCTTTTAGACCTATTGAGATGAAACATGATCATAGTTTTATGACATGGCAATTTTGGAATTTGGATGTTGTTTAACTGATTTATATATTCTTTATATATTATTTATTGCATATCGGACAACTTAAGAACATAGTTTTCTGTTATTCGTCCTTTAGGCAGATCAGATATAACCGTAGTAGAAAATATATAGCAATATGAAAAGTAATGGGAGGTAGAGGTTTATTTCAATTAATAATTCGTTCGAAAATTCGGTTTTATGTGAAGTTCGGCAAACGAGCAGACGGATTAATCAGCGCCGCCCATGGACACCCGCAACAACAGAGGAGTTACGAGTGCGATGCCGACCTTTTGGCGGTTAGGGATTTGGGAGATTTAGGGATTGGGCAGTGCATTTGGGCAGGGGAAGCATTGGGCCTCCGGAAACCTCACTCACAAGGCGAAACACAACGATGTAGTTGTTTCACACCGGTTTTCTGTGAGGCCGTGGTATAACTCCGGTTCGAGCCGTCCCACTTGTGCCAAAGCATGGCTCTCCCATACTTGATATTGTTATGTAGAATATATTGGATTGTACACCTTTCTTTAATTGTGCTTAGACCACTTCATATTGCTCACCTGTTCAGTACAAGTGGTCTTGGCGGGGTGGACTCCGTTGGGCCTGGGGTTGGGGTGGTAGATGGTGGCAATGGTGAAACACGAGGTGGTGCTATCGGTGCTGATGTAGGGAGCGCACTACCTGTAGGGGAAGAAGGGCAATGTATACATTAACAATTGAAAAAGTAGCGAAAAAAAGAAATTCCATTCGAATTTCCATTGTTGATATATATTTTTTTGTTGTCCTAACGCTAATTGTGGCACAGATTTCACACTTGCCCCAACTATGTAGGTACTCTGTATTCTGTTTCATAATATTTTTTCTTTTCCTGGTTGCTTGCTTTCTATTTTCTTTATGTCGAAAACCGAAATCTCCAAAACAAGAGCATCTTATTTCCTACTAACAAGAACCCTTAATTTGCTTTTCAACATAAATAATATTGGATACCTGATCCTGGTATGGTATTATAGTGTTCCTTAGCGAGGAACTCTTCGAAGTATCTGGTGAAGTCTCCAGTGGGGTCCCACCGGGAAGCAAGCTTGGACCACTCGTCCGGATACTCGTTCTTCAACCGTTTGATGACCTTCACTGCTGTTCTCTTCTGTCTCTCTGTGCAGCGGACGCATTTTGTCCTCAACGCCTCTGGGAGTATTCCTGGAAAGATATGGTATTGCGTTATTTCGATTTACTTCTTATGAAACGAAAAAAATACTTATGGTCATAGGTCCTTCGAGGACATAAAGGCTGTCATTGGTAATTAAATTATTTTTAGGATTTATTAGTCGCAGTACTGGAACGTAGGCTAGGTACATTGTACCAGGCTGGGTCCTAGGGCGATAGTACGAGCGGTCGGTCGCAAAGAGCGCCATCGCGGTGGGGAGGCAAAAAGGAATCGAAAAGTGAGACTTAATTATGCCCAACCGATTTTTGTATTTCGAAAGGCGCCATTATTTATGGCCTCACTTAAAAATGTTATAAAAGATCGGAACTGCATTTTTACTGTGTCCGAAAATAAATTCAAAAGATAAAATCAAATATTTAAAGGTAAGGAAACAATATAAGATATCGTTGTCGTAAGTTAAGGATCAAAGAACCAATAAGCTGTTTGCTGCCAAACAAGAACAAAATGGGCCAAAAGAAACTTGACTTGTTTCATTACGAACAAATTACCGAGTTCTTGGCGTTCAATGCTATCCCATACAAAGCATGGAACAGGTTGTTAATGACATTGTATTGAGCTGAAGGATGCCCTTCACTTTGCACCAAATAAGCACTAATAACCCCAACGGTACTTTCCACATGTCCTAGATTTATAGATGTACAAGGTTCCTTGCAACCGTTATATTTGTTGTGTTACTGTACACGTAGTCACTGCAGCTTTTACTTTATTTATTGAAATGCATAACAAATGAACTGCAGTGTGATTCTGTAAGACTTCATTTTAAATTTCGAATCTGAATCCGTCGTTGTGAGTAGTAGTAGTACACTAGCGCTACACTTGCGAGTTGAACTAAATTGACCGCAACATTTTGATAAATAAAGTATGAGATTATGTTAAAAGTGTCAATCTTTAATTTACCCGTCACTTCGAAGCTCATTTCACACTCGAACAAGATTCAAAATTAAACGAATTTTATAGAATCGACGAGTTGGGGAGACAGTCATCTAAAGATTTTATGGATACGGAATCCAAATTTACATATAGTATAGAGTATCAACATATAACGAAGTCAAATGGGAATAAACGAAGCAAAAATGGCAAAGATACTATTGTGAGACATACTAAATTTATTAAAAGTAAAGAATTGCTCACGTGAATAAACTCAGAAAAGCTCGACTAGTTTCAAGTCACAACGGGACTCTTAATTCTCTCATGAACAGCGTGCGCGTCGCGGCGACGTCGCGCAGCCAACGTCGTAGTAAGTCGTTATTTTTTAGTACATGGCAAAAAAAAAGAAATGTAGATCCCTCCCTGTGTGAAATTGATTGAAAAAGATTAACTGTACAGTTTCTTGCTCGTTCGACTCCTTAGGGACCTACAATTTAGAACGAGAAAATAGCTACCTAAGTGCAAGGGAATTGGATTTAATTTTCTCTCCATCTTTTTACTTCAATATGAAAGAATCGTGTTCTGTCATCAACCCCTATCAATCATATTCAAGTTTAATCAATTTTACAAGTATACGATAAAGGTGTCTGATGCTAATTTTTTTTTTGCTGCAATAACATTCATTTTATCACTTAACATTCCAATCTTTTTTCATCTCAAAATAAAATATCAAAATTGAGCTTGTTGAAACAGGTTTTTTATATTTAGTCTGGCCAATTTTAGCCGTCTTGATAAAACAGTAACTGAGATTTTAAGAATCCTCTCAAAGTCTTAGCACTAATTGTATGTTATAAGCACTTCATGCTTGCAACCTGCTTATTAGTTTTGGAGGGAAATATGAATTTATTGATCGTGATTATATTTGAAGTGGATAATCAAATGTCGTTAATTTTTTTGCAACATAATATTGTATCGTAATTCTTAATATTTCATGTTCGGGTGCAGTATTTAATTAGCAGGTATATGATTAAGCCGGTACTCAGGTATTCCCATATATATTAATGTTCAAATTATCAATCATATTTTTTATCATAGTTTTTTACATACAAAAGCGATTTAACAATGCCTACTTTACTTTACATTTATTTTCTACGACAAAAATGCAAAATGTCTGCACAAACACTTAATTTGCCTAAAAATGTGTAAAAATAAGTATCCATTTCCGTGTTTACGCGGCAAAATATAACTATAGCGCAGATTAAAAAACATCGCAAATATTCCACAGATAATAAAGAGTTTAAGCATAGGTAATGAAGTATTTGTATTCAGGTGACTAGCCATTCGATCACGTTCACTCGATGACGGAATGCGTTGATTATTTCCTTGTTTATTATAAAACAAAAGAGTAACCTCCTTGTTCGTAGTTGGGTAAACTTATGTATTATAGCGTTTTGTTTATTTGCTTTAGAATTAAAACGAGGTTAGTAAACTTATAAGTATGTTATGTATGCTTACATTGTGGTATTTTTATGTACTTACATGCTAGGAAATAAACGCACCGATACCCCCTACATAGATACTACATGTATATAACTTACATAAATATATATAATTTTATCTCTTTATAATATTAGTATAGATTACTAGACTATTGAAACAATACATAATACTTAGGTATTTAACTAAACGACCGTCAATAATTTACAGCTATTTATCGTTTTAACGGTTTCATACGAACAGTTATATAATACATCACAATTATAGTACTAACTAGGTAAAGTAACATAACAGTTTTCTGTCAAATTAAAGTTACATTTGCTGGGCACGCAACATGTACTTGCTTGGTACCTACTTACATAATGAACAATGCTGTTCGAAACACAACATATCTTTTGTTTATTTTTAACCTACATTGGCAGCATGCAAACCAGTGCGTTGACCTCAATCAGCCTCCGAACTGGTCAATGCCAACAAAAAAAAAGGTTGCTCCGAAAAGTATTGTTGCCCAAAACCATAATGTTATGAGTGTAAATGCAACCTTTTTCCTATACAGTTTTTTTAATTTTGTACTTTTGCTCTGTGGATTTGGATTTTAATTAGTTTAGTCAGGTTCTAAGTGAGCAGAATTAATAGAATCTGAAATTAAAAGAGTAAGTTATTCTATATATTTTAACATTTACAGAAATGTATTACATAGATAATTTTGTGTGTTGTACGTACAGGTCACAAAATTCTAACAGACTTACAGTTGGCTCGTTGGTCTAGGGGTATGATTTTCGCTTAGGGTGCGAGAGGTCCCGGGTTCAAATCCCGGACGAGCCCAATCCTTTTTTTATAATGAAATGTTTTGTACTACAGTTATAATAATTAAAATAATACTTATTCAGTGATCATTAATACAATGCATCTAAGAACGTATCTTCTTCTTGCACTCTTCCCTGTTGTATTGAAGCAGTCCTGCGACTGGGTATTTTATAGTGTTTCTAGATATGTACATGTTCGTGTGTATGCGTGAATTAATAAAGGTTAACTACTAGTTGTCATCTAGTAGTCAAAACTATAGTAATAACTTTTAATCGTACTTATTTCTCTTATTCTATTGGCTACAAAAACAATGAAACTAAGCTTTCAAGTGAATTTGTTTTTTTAAACTTATGAGTGAAAGTATCCATCCCTATTTCTTCGAAAAATCGAAAGAACTCTTTTTTTAAATAATTTATTTAGTGAAGTTACAGAAAAGTGTCCTTATCATCTAAACTCGCCAAACTTTAACGTTTGATGGCGAGAGGCGCTCTTTATACAATAACATATTTATACATAATAGTGAATTTAGTACCTAGGTGCAATTACTTGGGTTTCTTTCTTTAAAATTTAAATATCCCTACTTTATGCATACTATGTACTTATATACTTATACTTGCTCTTTGACTGTCGAGGTCTGTATGTGGCATTTTTTTACGTAATTCATTTGATTATTTTATGGGTAATTTATTGTCATCTATACATTCAAGCCCACTAAGGCACTAGTATCTCCTCTGGTGTTACGCATGACCATAGGCAGCGCAAATAGCTTACCATCAGATAAAAAATACATTTCACTTAACTATCTCATATTAACTCACATTAGGTTTATTCCATTATAACCAATGGTTCTAACCGTCTAGATAGACGTTTCTTCGATAACATTTATTTCTAGATTATTATGTAATGATTGTACTACACGCATATTCCGTAATTAACAGCGACATTAACAATGAAAAGAATGACCATAAGAAAGCATTGTATTGAAATTAGTGGCGACTCGATGCGGTGACGGCGAGAAACCATCTATTGTTTTCAGTACTTATAGCGCATAGTTTGTTCTTTTTGTAAATACATAATACCTATCTGAGTTTTTTACAATCAGGATTGAGTTTGTTTGTACGTATCTCTGTGTATATTTTAAAATGTGAAAGAATAACTCCACGATTTTTATGTCTAGAGTACTCGTCGTCGGTAAGTCAGCTAAGCACAAGTACAGAGGTGGCTGGGCAACTGGCTGCTGTGCAACGTGTCGCGGGTTCGATTCTCGCACGTAACACTTCTTTGTGTGATCCGCAAATTGTTGTTCCGGGTCTGGGTGCGATGTGTATGAGAATTTGTATTTTTGTAAACGCACCCACGACACAGGAGAAACCCTAAAACGAAAAAGAGTTGGTCATCGTTTTTAAAAAAAAAACAATCAAACACACGTGATTTTTGTCATTTACAAGTATCATGTTCTATTTGGCGAGCTCGTTGCTAGAAACCGTGACCGATTACAAAAATAGTAAATTCGATAATTGATAAACTTACAAGAGAGTCGATAATAACTTGCCCATATATTTACTTGCTTGTAATTACCTACTGACAAGTGGTTTTATTAATTATTCCTTATCTAATTATTAAAACCTTATTTAACTCCGCGTTCGCGTGGAATATTAACTTCCTGCAGATTTATGGTATAAAAACTATCCTACACCCTTTCTCGAGTTCTAAACTATGTCTGTACCAAATTTTACAGAAATCGTTTCAGTAGTTTAGGCGTAAAGAAAAGACAGACAGACAGAGACAGAGATTTGTGGAT